AACAATTATTGTGAAAAAGGAATTTTTTTGTACATCCTACGGAAAAATTAAAAATAAAATTTTAAAAAAAATTGGAAAAAGTGTCCTTAAAAGTTAATTTTTGGCACTGATATTTGTAAAAATCTAAAAAAAAAAAATAAAAAATGCCACCAACTGGCCTAATTGCTGTAAATACCGAAGATTGTGAGCGTTGTAGTGATGATTATGAAGACGAGTACGAATTTCATGCCTCCGTTTGTGTTTGGACCAGGTAGTAATGCTAACTTCAATAGAATTTGTGTTTTATGTCAATAGAATTTTTAATTTATAAATATTTTTTGCAAGAAGTTGGTTTAGTTGGTTTAGTTTGTTTATTTTGCTTTCATTCCAAAGATATCATGTTATCAAATACTATTTATCTGTGTTTGAGTAAACAAATTGACGGCTGTTATACTAAACTTGAGCTTTTAAGCTTGACTTTAAGAGCTGGCCAATGTCAGAGCGCAAATGCAAGAGATAATGATAGTGGCAAAAATATATATAAATACATATACATATAAGGGAAAAGATATAAATAAAATTATTTATAGGATCAAGTTTCTACAAAATATCGCAAATGTCGGTTTTCAATAATTATTTTTAATTTTCATGATAAATTTGAAGAAAGTAAATAAATATAATAAATATAAATAATTTTTGGTATTTCTTAGAAACCAACGATTAATTGTATTTATCTGAAAAGAATTTTAAAAATAAAGTCGAACTATTGAGAAATTATATATATATATATATGTATAATAATTGGCGCTTTGTAACCGCTTAAGCGATTTTCGGCTGAGCTCCTCCTTCTAAATGTGGTTTTTAGTCTTGATGTTTTTCCAACAAACGGAAGGTCCTATAGTTTATACTAAGCCGCCTTCGAACGGCTGATTGTCGTTTTATAAGGAGCTTTTGAATTTCATGTCATAAATACACTCGGAGGGTTTGATATTCCCTGCCGACGGGCGACCGCCATTAGAAGATTTAAATTAATTTTATGTTTTAAATAAGTTTTCTATAATTTTTTTTTTTTTTTTTTTGGATGTTAGTACAACACCAAGATTTGAATCCGAGCCTTCCGAATGGCAGTACGCAATGCCAACCACTCGGCTGCCGCGGCTGCCGTTGAGAATTACAATATTAATCAAACTACATCAGACACTTCTACAATATATAGGTAATGGTTATGATATCTAAACTAAAAGTAAGCCAGAAAGTTATCGGATTTCGATAGTTATCAGTAACAATGTGGTCTTATCTGACCGACTAGTTGAGGGACTAGTTTGCGCACAAATAGGCAGAAAGAAAGACAGGCGGGTGTAGCTTCAATTCAACTCGTCATTTTTAATGAGTTGTTCCTCCTTGTTGCTCCCAGAGGGAGAAATGGGCTTAGAAGAGTAGGTTTTAAGTGGCATGCAAAGTGGTGGTTAGTGTCTTGCGAAGCTTCATTGCATACCTTGAGTATGTGCAGGTCAAAGTAGAAATTAAGCCCACAACAATATCCAGATCTTAATTGTGCCAGTATTGTTGGGGTCTCTCACGGCATATCCGACTATTCGTCTGTAATGGGTGGTGATTGAAATCCGAGAATGTCGTTCACTGCAAGAAAGTTCAAGCAGATTTGGACGAACTCTTGGTGAATGACGTTTAAGGCTAATCGTTAAGCCATCATGTCCAGTGTTTTGTATATCGTGTTTAGCCTCAAGTAATTGTCTCATTACATGCAGAACAAACGTTTGGTATTTGAATGTGAATGACATTTAAGGCTTGTCGCAAGACACACAGGATGGCGTGTGCAAAGGATCTTGTTCGTTTTGATTAATGGAGTACCTGCAGTCGAGTACTCTCTTCCTGATGTTTATAAAGGGGTGAATTGGCGATAGATCGGTGGATGCCTTCACAGCATAGCATTATGTTCCCCATCGGGCAGCATAGATGTTTCGCAGTGCAAGTAAAGCTCCGGCAATATTAGAACGGCAACATCAGAAGGCAGGTTTATAGCTGCTTCATCCGCAACTTGCTAGCCTTGCATGTTGCCAGCTGCGGGCTAACGCTGTAAGGATTTCATTATAGCTCCGTACTTATATGGCAATTGCAGTCGTATACCGAGTTAAGAAATACAGACTGTCGAATGTGACTTACAGTAACTTTGAGTTGTTAGTTGTTGGAATATTCACGCCATCGATTTTCACATCTAGTTCGAGCCTGTGCTCCTTCGTCCAGCTGGTGAAAAGGTGTCCGAGGATTCAAGTTCAAATTGTAATTTTAATAAAAAATTACTAAGGCTCAAAATAGCTAATGAGTTCATAATTTCATTGAAAATATAATAAGAATTTCAAAGAAAATAGTTTTATAGTTGAGTTATAATCAAATTGAAGGAAATGTTGAACACAACCCGCTTATGTTTTTGATTTATTAAGAAACAGTAGTTATAGAGTTCAGAAATTTTCAGCATTTTATACGAAGATTTTCAAAAATTATGATTAGGATAACCTTCTAGGGTTCGTTCCACTGTACTTATCAATGCACTTGAACCACATCGAAAGGGCCTTCAGAGCAAATTTAAAAACACTGTTCTCAACATTTTATTCAAATAAAAATAGATTAGACAATCATACATTCCTCTACACAATTCCTATGCCACATATGTACATATGTATACGTGTTTGCTATTGACAAACATAAATAGAATTAAAAACAAACTTATTACGGATGTGACAAAGTCCACACTTAACACCTTTGCGTCATTATTTTTTTCCCAACATATTATTATTTTTTTTTTCACCTACCTACGTTTGTAGATATGTGAAAATGTATATATGTTACATTCAAAATTAAAGTGGGTGTGTCACGCTAATTAACTGATAAGTGCAATGAGGGGGAGCAAGAACAATTAAAGAAATTACCCTTATCAGTTTAAGTGCGCAGATAGTAATTTTTGGAAGAATGATTGACATAATGGCGTATATAAATTAAAATAGTCGTATCTATGTATATATATATGTATTATATACATCATTTACAGAACATACCCTTCATAAGTGAAGTATGTTTTTCCAGTTGAAACCTCTTTTAAATTTTAAATTATTTGGATTGTGTTGAGCTTTAAACCATAAATACAAAATTTTCTAATTTTTTGTTTTTATTTGAGTTTCTTTCGTTGCCCTTTCGCTTTTATCTGTGCCAAATATTGCTTGATTTATTTGCCGAATTTTAACAAAAATTCGTATGCCATAAATTTTGGCGTTTCATTAATTGTTATGCTGTTTGTCGATTATTGTTTGAGCTTGCATGAGATCTGATGACTTCCTTATCAGTCATGAGTGGATGTGGTAATGTGAAGTGAAGCGGAAATTGTTGCTCAAACAATCAATAAATACACCAGGTCAAGTAAAAAGTTCGTTCGGTTTTTAGACAAAGGATGGCGTTATTTTCCATAGTACTAGTGTTCCGCGTCGCTTCATGTCATACTATACGGCGCTGAAAACGTGTTTATTCGCGCTAAAAGTTTGTCTTTGACAGTTTTTGGATGGATTGACTCAGTACCTTGTGAGCGCTCGTCAAAGAAGGACACCAGAAAAGAAAAAATTCGTTTTATTTAGAATTTTTCTTCGAGCAAGGTGAAAAAGCAGACAAAGCGGCTGAAAAAATTAAGTTAGTTTATGGGCCCGATACTGCAAACGAACGTATAGCACAAAAGTGGTTTGCTAGGTTCCGTTCCGGTAATTTCGATGTCAAAGATGCACCAGGTATTTCGGTGTGTTTAGTGGGATTGGCAAGGAATCATTTACTACGAGCTGCTCCCCTTTGGCCAAATGCTCAATTCGGCCCTCTACTGCCAACAACTGGACCGCTTGAAGGCAGCACTCGTCCAGGAGAGGCCATCTTTGATCAACAGAGGCCGAATTGTCCTCCATCAGGACAACGCCAGGCCACACACGTCTTTGGAGACGCGCCAGAAACTCCAGGAGTTCGGATGGGAGGTCCTAATGCAACCACCTTACAGTCCGGACCTGGAACCAAGCGAAAACCATCTTTTTCTGTCCATGGCGAATGCGCTAATGATGAAAAGTTGGCCTCAAGAGAGGCCTGTGAAAATTGGCTCTCCGATTTTTTTGCCAATAGGGACGCAGCTTTCTACGAGAGAGGTATGATGAAGTTGGCATCTCGTTTACGAAGAAAGCGGCGCATATTTGACTTAAATCAGAGAAATCCAAATCACATTTTGAAAAATCAATAAAAAAAAAAACCGAACGAACTTTTTACTTGACCTAATATATTTATATGTAAGAAAACATATTTATTATTTTACAAAAGTACGTTGTCTAATCAGTTATTTTATATTTTTTTTTAATTTTTAAATTTTTTTATTTTTCTACTCTAAATTTTTCAAGAAAACGTATTTATATTTTTGTTTTGATTGAACAACTGTCTTTATCGTTAGATTTGTTTTTAACAAATTACAAAAATAAAAGCAAAATAAATAAAAATTTACCTGCAAAAATATTTATTTAGAAATAAAGTAATTTAATACTTAAAAACAGTATATATGTATATAGATACTGTTAACCTAGATATAGAACTGTTAACCCATTTTAATGTTGAGTTCAAAATTTTGGTTGGTTTTCCAAATCAGAACATTAAAAAGTATTTTTTAGTCACAAAGCAGTTTCAAAAATTTTTAATATAAAATTTTCAGTATCCTTGAACGCTTGATAAGCTTAAAAAAATTGCATGCTAATTTCCCTTGCACCATTTTGACACAAAACCTCATAAAATTGTTGTTGCTTTTTGTAGTTATTTGTAAATTTAATTATTTTTAAAATGTATGTATGTATTACTTTTAGTTTTTTGTATATGTCACTGTGCCCAATATTCATAGAGTTTAGACTGTAAAAAAATGCTTATCATACTAACACAAACAAAAAAAAATTTTATAAGCATACTAAACAATTTATCTTCTTCTATCGCCCACTTCTTAGATACTCTGATGGCACCGTTAAGCTGCGTAATTCCAATATCGAATTAATGGATCAAGACATACTCTATCACCTTGCCCTGGGTAGTGGCAGTCATGATTTGCAGGAAATGTTCGGTGATGTTAAGGTAAGTGGAATTTTAACAGTCGTCTGTTAAGTGTATTCATGTGATGTGTGAGAAATATAGGGTTATACATTTCGTAGTTTCAAAGGTATATAACGGTATTTTGACATCTGTCAATCTTAACTACTAAACTAAACATGTTTTATTTTAGTAAAAAGTCGCGCATTTTTCAAATTTATTGTTAAAAGCTTTTACCAAAATCGTTCAAAAGCGGCTTTGAGAGGAGATTGTGCTGCGCGTAATCGTCCAACTTATCAAGCAATTGGTAGAATTTTAAAGAAATTTTAAGGTAATGAATCGGTTACAGTTATTATTAGGCCTAAGCAGCAATGTTTTGCTTGTTCCACTTCAACAAGCAGTGGATCGCAATTTTTTGGAAAAAAATTTTCTTCAGCCATGAAACACAATTCTCACTCGGGGGACTCGTAAATATGATAAACTGTCGCATTTGGGTCTTCGAGAATCTCCAAATGATTGAAGAGAGGCAATTGCACCCAAATCAAACTTACTGTCTGGTGCGCCCGTTGGAGGTGTGATTTCATTTTATTTTTTTGAAAACAACTGTCTATTTCAAGCGGTACGGTCCGACCTATATTGGCCTGCAATTGAAGAACACGACTCGATTGGGCACCGCTGAACGTTTTTTTTTTTTGTAGTTATATGAAATACCATATATATGCGGATAAGCCTTTGATAGTTAAGCACTCAAGTTATGACTGAGATTCCGCTTAATATGTGCCAAAAAGGTGGTCCAAAATTACTTCAAACGGATCGAGGCTTGTTAAAATTATCGAGGCGGTCATTTGAATAATGCAGTATTTTACATATTATTTCAAGGCTCAAACTTTACAATAAAAGAGGAATTTTCGAAACCTTAAAATGGGTAACCCTGTATAATTGACGCTTTATAACTGCTGAAATGATTTTCGGTGTTCGTCTTGATGTTTTCCAACAAATGGAGGGACCTATCAGTTTGCTTGTTGCCCAGTTTTTGAGACAAACCGAACCAGTATCACATATATACAACCGAATTTTCAGATTTGATGTTTTGATTCGAAAAGCCATCAAAAGAGAGCGAAAAATTGTCATTTTCAGGTACAAATAAATATTGATTCTGAAAGTCACCGAAATTGGAAAACTTTATCATCTAGTCCTTTCCAATCAATCGTTCTGATATGAGAACTAATATTAAATCCTAAAGTGAAATACGATAAATTTGATATGGTCATGAAAAGTATAAAGGCGACGACTTAGTCATATCCGCAGAGTGGTGTTTTCCATCTATTTTCATATGATTTTGAATGTTAGTCCAGCCGGCATTCGAAACCAATGCGTGCAATCAGCGAACTGAGCGCTTAGTAAGCATGCTAAGTGAGCGATTTTACTGAGCGATTAATTTTCATGAGCGCAATGCTTCTTTAAATGCCGAAACGACCACATTAACCGCTACTTCAACTGCCGAAACGACCAATGAATTGTGAAGTTAAGTTTTCCCCATGGAAATTATTGCTATGCACTATTATTTAATCATTTTACAAATATTTTTTCTGTTCCCAAAACTGGTCATCTGCATACCGTGGCACAGTTTCTTCATAGGTCCTTTATTTTAAATTTCTTTCTTTGAAAAACTGTTTATCTAGTGCAGATAGCACAACTAAATCTCTTTGCAACCCAAAAAATCTAGTAAATTGTCATCACAAACACTTTCTAGTCAAAATACTTTTAAATTTTCGCAAATCATTTTTTCTGTATACAGTTGACCGATCAGTGGCAAGCAGCATAAAAATTTTACGCTCACAAATATGGAGAGCTCTCCCTGAGCATGTTTACTGAGCGCTAACTTAATCATTGCGTTCAGAGTCCGCTCACTAAACATGTCAACTGAGCACTCAGTTCTCTGAACGCACCCAATAACTTCCGAATATATTATATGTATATATGCACTCTAAGCCATATTGAAGAAGCATTGGAGACAAGTGTTGGACTATAGACTGACTATTGGAGTCTAAATTGGTCAGAAGTACACGTCATTTTAGAAGCAATCAAAAGTCTGCAGTGAGAAAAATTTAATATGGCAAAGGAGTAATTTTCCTGACAGGAAAACTATCTTGTTACAATCGAAAATATATTTATACATAAATTATTGAATTAAAAAATCCAGTTTTAAATACTAATATTAAAAACAACAAAATTTTTTTCCAATGTCGACAGTGACTCTGCTTAGTCAGTCATTGAATTGGCTTTTTTCATGTTCAACAAATAAGCACTTCCAAGTCGACACAACTAATAATTGAAATGTTAAACGTAATAAATTGAACTTAAAGCATTTAGTATTAATTACAAAAAACATAATTTCATTTTACTAGGACAATAATTGATTTGTTAAATATTGTATTAAATTAAAGCGTAATTTAGCTGGCATTGGAATAAAATCTTATCTCATCTAATTTAAATAAATGCAAATAAACATTTACATACATACATATGTACATACATAATATTATAAATTTTTAATACATCCACGTGAATCAAACATACATAAATGTGTCATAATTTATGGACCAATTAAATTTTTTTTCATTCATATCAGCACATTTTTCTAACATTAAAGGTCAAAGACGCTCAAATAGCTGTAGCAAAACAAAAAATAGAAAATAAACAATCAGTATTGAGATTTGTATTATCAAAAATTCAAGTTAATACGAGTATATAGGCATAAGCATGCCATGTTATGGCAAATAATTCAAGACTTAAATGTTTCATTCAAAAATTTAATCACCGAAAAATGGAAATTTTCTAGAAATGCGCATTTTTTTATCAACCAAACAGAATGTTTGACCACAAATACATAAACATATGTATATGTATACATATACATACATAATTACTATTCTCACTTACCTTCAACTTGTCTACTTTCTCACTTTGATTAAAAATAAATATGCATAAATTGCTTGCGGCTCTTTTGAACAAGAACAAGCTTTTTATTTTTGTTTTTTTTTTTGCTTAATTTACATAAATAAAATAAATTGCTTGAATTTGTTGGTAGAAGAATTAGAAGCAGCTAATGAATAAAAGTCATCGATTAGAAGTTGAGTAACCAGTGGAGCAGCGCAAATTTATACTAACGCCTAAGTGTATGCAACATTATTTTGGACGCTTTTTGCATAACTAATTTTCAACATAATTTCAATTAGTATTAGTCATTTGTTGTATGTAAAATAAAGTTCAAACAAATACTCGTAAAAGCGCTAAATGTCGCAACAAATTTAAATAATATAATTGAGGTTGCGCAGGCAAATGTGAATTATTAATTCGAAAGGTGAGAATCTCACTTCTCCTTACTGCTAAAATTAAAGGTGTACCCCAGTTTCAATAATTATTGAGTTATTGTTGTAGCTGTAGTCGTTCTAAAACTCCGCTTTGAATTAGGCGAGACAAGTCTAAGTCATCGAGTTCATCTAACGGGAGGTTCAGTAAACGTGCTGTTTCGACGGGTTCGGTCCAGCGGGAAAGGGGAGTTAATTTAGTATATATTTTCGTGGCATAAACATCGTGCGGGATCCTATTACATGCAGGACTCGTGCGGCTCGTGACCATTGCATTTGTATGCGAAGTAAAGGACTACAGGCTCCTCAAATGTGACTCCCTATAACTTTGGGTTTGTATTTATTGGAATTTTTACGCCATCGACTCGCACATCGTGCTCAACAAAGTGCTCCTCGTCAAACTAGTGAAAAGAATAGTCGAGGGTGACGTGCAGTGGAGAAGTGGGAAAGGTCAAAGAGATGGCAGTTTACTTTGGAATGAAACGTCCTCTTGTGGAGGGGGAGTTTTGAAATGTAGAAATTATACAGAAGTGAAGTGAGTAAAATCCTTTGTTTAGTCCTACAGATTTTGGAAGTTTCTTCTGATGACTGTCGACCACTAATCTAGCCCATGGTCCGCCTGTTCAAACCGGGCGGTAATGAGGAATCGTCAATATCCGATAGCATCACTGAATGATTGACGGTATCAAAGGCTTTTGATACATCGGGCGCTACTCGAATGAGTCTCGCAGGATGTGTTATTGGTCAAGGCCATGGATTATCAAGGCGTTAAGTGCGCTTGTAGTGTCTTGCAAAATTTTGAAGCTATTTAAGTGGTTAGGCAATTCTACTCATTTTTCACACTTTGGTAAAGTAGTAGTAGTAGTTTTAGCTTCAGAATGCTTTTTCCGGCGGTGTCGATGACTTTAGGTGTATTTTTGCCTTCCTAATGACCCCCTTGCCTGGAGAAATCAAGCGCTACCTTGGTGTTTTTGAGTTTTCGCAGACGGCGGGTCACTTGTCAGCTAAAGTAGCTGGCATACTTCTTCTGGTTTGACGAAGTATGTTCACTGAATGAAATTTTCAGCTGGCCATCGCGTTTCGTCGGTTAAGAGAACGATTAGAATTTGGTTACTGCAGAAAACAGATCACAGGACGTAAAGCGTTCCTCCCACTTGTTCGCTTGCGTTGGTCAGAGTATATATTAAATATTTATTTGACGGAATCAACTCGGTGGGGGTGCAGAAGGCATTGCCGTGAAGGGTTGGGATACAGTAACGCGTGGCTCATTCCCTGTGCATCTTTGGACAGATCTTATGTTAACTCCAGCATTTGCATTAGTTGCATCTAACCGAAATTAAAGAATATTGGAGTTCTCAATGGCACTCGCAGCAGAAATAATCAATCGAACCAGGTATGGGTTCGACGTCAGCCATGATGAGGGGGATTTGAGGTAATCGTGCTGTGAGGTCTTGTTCTGTTGCTGAACTTAAACTAATATTACCTGACTATGACTACCTAAAGCGGGGTTAGGCCGCCGAAGGGGTGACTGCCTTTTGACGAATAAAATCCGCGTCCGAATCATTGTACCGACATCTATAGCGTCCACAGGCATCTCCAACTCCGTTTAAGATATTTTAGAAGATTCTTATTATTTTTTAATTTGCAATTTTATACTTATTTTAGCTTTTTTTATTGTCAAATTAGTATACACAAGTTATTAACTCTTCCTTCCATTTTCAGTTCGTTTGCATGGGCGGAACACCAAAGCGCATGGAAAACTTTGCACATTTCATAATGTCGGAAATAGGTTACAAATTACCCGCCGGTACGAAATTGGAAGACATCAGCGCCTATTCATATCGATACTCAATGTACAAAGTAGGTCCGGTGCTTTGCGTCAGTCACGGCATGGGAACACCCTCTGTCAGCATATTGCTGCATGAATTGATCAAACTTATGTATCACGCCAAGTGTCAAGATCCTGTATTTATACGTATTGGCACTTGTGGTGGTATAGGAGTTGAAGGGGGTACCGTTATCATCACCGAAGAAGCACTCGATAGTCATATGCGGAATGCACACGAATTTGTAAGTAATAAAAGCTCAAAAAAAATATAATAATAACTTAGATAAAAGTATTAAATTATGTAATAACAACAAAACAACAAATTTGAAATTTCCAGACAATTTTGGGTAAAACTGTACTGCGACCTGCCAAATTGGACAAGAAGTTGGCACGTGAGTTGAAAGCTCTGGCCAGCGAAGATGATCCTTATGATACAATTATCGGCAAAACTCTTTGTACAAATGACTTCTATGAAGGTGGGTGTGTGTATGGGTGTGTGATTAGACAACATAAATATTTCTACTTTAATTTTGTTGTTTGTTGTGTTCACAGGTCAAGGTCGCTTGGATGGCGCATTCTGTGAATTTAGTGAAGCTGAAAAAATGGAGTATTTGGAAATGCTGGGCAGCAAAGGTGTGGTCAATATTGAAATGGAAAGTACCATTTTTGCTGCACTTACATATCATGCGGGCATTAAAGCGGCGGTTGTTTGTGTTGCACTGTTGAATCGTTTGAATGGCGATCAGGTGAGTTCTTAAGAAGAATATACATTTCTCAAAATAAATTTTATGCAAATTTAGGTTAACATCCCAAATTGTTATTCTTCTTCTTTACTTTTCGCGATTACAGCCGAGTAATCAACAGCACGCCATTCATGCCTTGCTTTCGCTTTTTGAGGCAAATCGAGTTAGCCAGGCTCCTCTGCATCAGTATAGAAGAAGAGTTATTAAAATCATTCCTTTTAACAGTTTGTATTTGTCGTCCATCAGATTTGAGGCCGAACTTGAGTAAAATTTTGACTCATTGAGAAAAAAGTCAAAAATCTGTTTTCAGCGCTGATTTCTTTATGTACTGCTGATTATGTTAGCGCTTTAAAAAATTTGCCATCCCCTTCAAAGTAGTCCCCTTGTGCACCTATACAACGATTTCAGCGTGTTTTCCATGCTTCGTAACATTTCTGGAACGCTTCGACTGAGTTGTCCACGAGTACTCTCGATGTCCTCAATCGCCTCAAAATGGATTCCTTTGACCAACGAAAAAGTCACAGAATGACACATCGGGCGAATAAAGCGGTCGTTGTAACACGGTGATCTCTTTAGAGGCCAAATACTAGGACACGCTGAGGGCGGTGTGGCACGGCGCGTTGTCGTGATAAAGGATCCAGTTAATAGCGATGTCTGGACACACCTTGTTGACTCGTTTTCGCAATATTTCGAGTACTTGGCGAGAGTAGACTTGGCTTACGGTTTTCCTCGGTGGAAAAAATTTTTGTGGACGATACCACGGCTATCAATAAAGGCAATAATCAGCGTTTTCACCTACGACTTGCTCATGCGAGAATTTTTCGGGCGGAGAGCGTGGGGAGACAACCATTGTGAGCTTCGGCGTTTCGTTGCCGGGTCGTATTGAAAAACCAGCTCTCATCGCCTGTGATCGCCCGATTTGGCGCAAAATTTTATCGCGACACAATGCTCTTGATTTCGTTCTTCCATTTTCGTGACGAGCTCCACGAACATACGTTCACTTAACACGACACAGCAGAGCTAATAAAGCTAGAGCGATGGCAAATATATCAATGGAGAGGAGAAGTATGCCGGGAGAAGGGAAAGGGAATTTCAAGGTAGCAGGATTACCACAATCGCGGCAATATAATCAGTTACATTACTTTATTGTCACACCTCGTATAACCCATTTTTCATTGGCAGTGATATATCGCTTCAGAAATAATTCGATTTTGTTCCTGTTTCATAAACTTGTCTCTGATTGTATTTCGCAAATCATTAGCACCCAAACATGGACCTACTGTGAGTAACCAGCCGTTTTGAAATGCTTCCGAACTGTCATGTGAGTGTTGCCGAATGCCTCCGGCATCTTCTAAACGCTTGCATGCCGGTCAACAGTTGAAAAATTTCTTTGGCCATTGGTCTTGATGGTCGAACAGAATGACTTGATCTTGGACATCAAAATTCCAGGAACGAAAATCAGTAAAACACTTTGGTCTCTGGTCATATTTTTGCAGCGTTTTTACCATTTTTATAGCTAAAATTCTTTCTTCGGAACTAACCCTTATATTCAAATCCAAACAAGTCTTCACACCTATGATGATTTACAAAACTGTCTTTACGAAAAAAAAAAAAATTCTTTAAAAAACGTGTGTTAGTTGGAGATGAATTAATGTGGCCCAGAATAAAAGTAACACGATGGCGCTCTTTTGAAATATATGGATATTGAAGTAAGTCAAGCCATATACAAGAAAAAGCAAAAGTTCGAACTTTGTTCAACCAAGATAACTTGTTTCGGAATCATCTTAAACACACAGTTGACAGTCGGAGTATGCTCAAGACAAGAGAATTTATTTCTGGGTTCAAAAATCCTTCACACGCTGTAGCGGCGGTTTTTCGGAAAGCTCTCTCTCTCTCTATTATGATTATAGTAAAATAAGAATTTTACACCTCAGGGCTTTCTGTGATAAAGCGAGATCTCACATTTTGCTTTACTTTGCGACAATTAATTTAACTTAAGTTATAATTAAGTGATTAATTAATTAATTAATTGCAATTAAATGAAATATTATTTAATAAATTTTATTTGTTGAAAATTTTTATTTGGAATTAACAATTAAAACAAAAAATTCTAATCCCTTCCAGGTCAACGCACCCAAAGAGGTAATGCATGAATGGCAAAATCGGCCGCAAACACTCATCTCGCGTTATATTTGCAAGACGCTGGCGCTGAAGGGGCAATTGAAATCGCTCTCACGAGGCTCCATAAAATCACCAAGGCGTTTCAAATTAGTACAACAAGAGTCACAAGCGCATGAGTAAATTCATCATGCGCCTTTTTTTTTTTTAAATATACTAACGAATATACATACATACACGCATATTAAACATATTGACATATTGACGAAGATCACTTGTTGCCAGTTCAACTTGCCAGTCAGAAGCGGTTAATTGCCGCGCAACACATTGCACTAGATATAATATATAATATAATAAAAACATGCACATATTTATGAAAAATATATATATATATATATTACAATTAATGGCCTATATATATATATATATATATATATATATATATATATATTTATGTATTATATAAATATGTTAACATATACGGAAAATAACTGACTCATTGTTAAAGACACTCCATACGAAAACATTCCAAGGCAAAAATAAAAACAAAACAAAAATAAAACATTGAGAGACCAAACATATTTCGATTGTTACTAAATGTTGCATAAATAATTATTTCAGGCGTATATTAAACAACAACAACAGCAGCATATTGTTAAAAAAAATCACTTTGCTGAAGAAAAATATGACATTCATGCACACATCCATGTGAATAGCATTGTTTAGCACAAACCCTAAATGTATGCAACAATTTTGTCAAAACTCGCTGTGCGGTGGGCGGTAAATGTATTTGGTAATTTTTATATAAATTATTCTTGTTTTATTTTTTTTATAATTAAATGTTGCGATATTAGTTAAGCATAAAATAATTAACAAAAATAAAAATAAGCAAAATAAATTTAAGTGAGACATTATCAACGAATTTTTTCCATAATATCCTGTTTGAGGCACATATGTGCACACATGCATACATATTTAAAGGAGAAGCGATTATGTACGTCAATAATGAAATAAAAACTCGGAATATGTATTTATATACAAAAATTGTAAAAGTTCATAAAAAATTGTGAAATTTATTGTTTATACACATAAAAGCTACTTTTACATTTGTATGTGGGTCATTGTGCACATTATGCGTCTCAAATTATCATTATTAAAATATATTGTACTTACGCAAATAATATACATACGTAGTTATACACATCACTCAGAACTCATAAACATAAAATCAATAAATAGTTTATACAAAAAAGTTATATTAATAAGTTAAGCAGGTAAAAGCCCCAAAATTATTTTATTTAAACAAATGGAAAAAAGCATTAAAAAAACTGTTTTGCGTTAAATAACAAATTGCATTTTGGAATCATGTAAAATAGGCAAATCGTAAAAGGAACAAAAAAGAAAAGCAATCCCATTCTCACACAGTTCATATGAAAAGTTCTAAAATTGTTGCATTTCCAAAATGGATATTTACAATATACAAAAAAAAAGTAAATAAATAAATACTTAAAGTTTTTAAATGAAAAAAGTTTCAAAACCAAATAATAACAATTAAAAGAAATAACAAGCAAAAAACAAAAAAATGCAAAACATTTAGTGTTAAGTTTTTTAAAATGTACTTATCGCTTTTTAAACTCACACAAATTCTCTCTCACTTATTGTACAATATATACACACAATTAATTGATTGTATCGTACTATTATATTTGTTAGTTGTAAAAATTAATTGTGAATTTAAACGTTGCTAATCCCCTATTTAACTCAAAAATCTCTCTGTCTAATTCAAGTTAAAATATTCATATTCGCTAGATGATCGGCCGATATATACTTATTGGCTGTCGTATAAATATATATCATGTAACTTAACTCAAATATGTATATGCATATGTTTATTATGAAAAAACAGAAAAAAAAACAAAAACAAAAATCACACTACCAAATATTATGCGAATAAACTTGACAACAAGAAAGAATAAATAAAATCGAAATTCCATAAATGGATCAAACAAAAATAAAATGTAGTTTTACTTAACTCTTTGGAGCTGTTGGACCTGTCGGATAAGGTTCCACACGCAAATGAATAACCTTAATTCAACTGTAAAACGGCGGCCGTGATTATCGAGCGATTAGCATTGCGTAAAGCTTGTTTCAACCAACAACCAAAAGTTACAGAAATTTAATTTAAATACAAAATTAAGGTAATTGCAGGAAATATCAAGCCCTCCTAGTCTATTTATGACCTGTCGTTCGGAGGCGGCTTCTTGGAAAAACATCAAAACGCATGTCAGGAGGAGCTTGGCCAAAAATCTATTCAGCGTTACAAAGTACCAAATAACTTTTTAGTTGTTATATTTGATTTTTTCATAACTTCATAAAAATGTTTTCTCTTTATTCAAAATACGCCGAAACTGTCACTTAGACTTTATTAAAGGTATTTAATTGTTTATTGAGAAATTGAGTTAACTTTTCATATTTGGTAAAAAGTAATAGTCCATCAGGGCAAGGTCTGCCCAGTTTATGCAGTCGTTGACTGCCTTGCTGTACGCTTGGGGTTGCGGAGCTTTCTCGTCAACCATCTTGCGCTGGCCTTAGTCATGTTAAAATGATAATGCAGGAATTTAAAAACGGTTGTGTTGGATACTACAAACCTTTTAGCGAGAGGTTTCTTTAGACGAGCAGTATTTAGGTCAATTTTTCCAAACTCTGAAATGAATTGTGTCACTTGTACATTAGGTTCTTCTCGGAAAAGAGTCACCGTAAACCAATAAAAAATCATTAATTATGATCACAATAGATTTTCCTTGTTTGCTAAGGCACTATTTCACTTTTCAATGCAAGTTGTGTTGCTTGATTGACTATAGAAACCGCATTTTTATATTAATTATGAGTTAATGAAGACGTCACGATCCCAATGAGTACAATCACTCCAACAGTCCTCTCATACGACGAACATAAAACTCCTCTCTAGTATGTACATATATGTGTCCCATGAAAAGTTTGCTCTCAACTACTTATTATAGAAATTATGCATCGGAGCTGGTTCAAATATTTACCAACTGGATTTCTGGAGATTTTGGTAAAAGTTCCTAAATATTTTTTTTTTGCAGAAAATTTCTCTTCAAGCTAATAAGACAGTACTCGTTTTTTTGTAAATTTCCATTGGTTACAGAGATTAAATGAGCGTTTTACCTAAGTCGCTGCAGCTGAGTAAGTTAATTGTATAATTCTAACCGCTGAAGCGAATTTCGGTCGGGTTCCGCGTCACAGAAAGATTGATGAATGTCCAGTTTTATCAAGTTAGTATGTTTATATATTTCAAACTATAATTAGATGATTTATCATTAAGTATCAGAGATTCTCCACTAGTGTATACTAAAATTTACTCCAATGAGATCATGTACTGCATCATTTCTATACTTGACGGGTTATCCAACCTCATTCAGGTAAGTGGTCTGTTCCGCAATATCGCAGCTTTATAAAAATATATGTGTATAGTATATACGCTGTATGAACTCAATTCATTAAACTGTGCTAAGACCTGTAAGAATTGGGCCGTCAACTTGCGTATTTCCGACAGAGGAAACAGTGCTTTCATTATACCCTAGAATGTAGTTTTTCTAAGTCTATATTTTAACTCCTGCTGGTCAGAGTAAACGCGAAACCCGTTGTTAGCTCACATGACTCTCAAACTAATATTCAATGGCATCCTGGTTTAAGTGATAAGGACGCTGTTAATAGAGTTCTTTAAATTATAAGAACCACTTATAGTTAAAATCAAATAACTGCGAAGCATAAAAAATACGATTTTGACGGCATTAGTCCATCCTTTCCAATGACTTTTATGTTTTTTCACTAATTCGGCTATTCCATCTGAAATTTTATTTTTTTTTTGCTCATTGACCGCCATACTATATCTACTAAACATTTTTCTTATCAGCTCAGTCGATACGCACTTTTAAGAATTAATGGAAAGTGTGACGAATGTAAAGCGATGACAATGAATAACGATATCGCTGAAGGCGCAATCTCAATGCTTGCTTTAACATTTTTGGTTTAACATTATCTGTTAACGATTTAACACTAACGACAACATTTCGTTTCGGGTGAAAACGAAATGAAACTTATTTTGATAACTGCTATAACGATAATATTTACAAATGCTTCAACGATTCGATTGATATTTTTTTTATTAAAATCGTAGTATCTTTAATTCTTCGAAATAAAGTACATGAGTGAGATATTTATAAATACTCGTATTTTTTTGCAAAATAAATTAATCATTCATTAATCAAACTAATCAATCAAATCGTTAGTAAATTATTATAGAATACCGAAAACTTCAATTATAAATATATGACATGTTTCCTCTTCTCGTCTATAGCAGCATTGAATTAATAAGCAATTTCCTGGCAAACATGAACCTTATATACCTACTTTCTTTCTTATGTAATACGAAGTGTGTTCAAAAAATATCGCGAATTTTGTGTTTTTTTTTTTTTAAAAATTATTTATTTATACATAAATATCTATTTTGTTCCCTTCAAAGTAATCCCCATGAGATATTATACACTTGTGCCAACGGTTTTTCCAATCTTCGAAGCACTTCAAAAAATCATTTTTTTATCTTGTTCAGCTCTTCCTTCGATGACATCTTTATCTCGTCAATCGTAGCGTAACGTCGACCTTTCATGGGCCTCTTCAGTTTAAGGAACAAAAAAAAGTCACAGCGGGCCAGATCTGGGGAATACGGTGGTTGCGACATCATTAGTGTGTTGTTTTTGACCAAAAAATCGCGCACAAGCAACGATGTGTGAGCAGGGGCGTTATCGTGTTGCAAAAGCCAATTTTCGTTCTTCCACAAAACCGGCGGTTTCTGGCGGATCGCTTCGCGCAAATTGCGCATAACTTGCAGGTAATATTCCTTACTGACCGTTCTACCCTGTGGAAATACCATTTTCTCCACTTCATTAATTTGTTCGTCCGTTGTTGAAGTGCTCGAGCGTCCGGCACGCCCCTCGTCGTTCACATCTTCTCGGCCTTCTGAGAACATTTTGTACCACCGATAAACGTTGCTTCGGTCCAAGGTAGCTTCTCCGTATGCCACAGTCAACATTCGGAATGCATCCGCGCACCTTATTTCGTTTTTCACACAAAATTTGATAAAGGTTCTGCGATCCATTTTTTTGAATAGGTAAAAATCGAAGACCATCCAAAACACGTGCCACCAAAGCAGCTGTCAACAATTAAGTGAACATCCAAAATGGCCGAGCTCGTCGGCATAAGTGACAGAAATGAGCACCAACATAACGTCACAAAAAAATCGAAATTCGATTATACGTAACCCGCGAAAATTCAAAATTCGCAATACTTTTTGAACACACCTCATATATAATAGCTATGTACGAGTATGCCGAAATT